TATATGTTTGTTTGGTTTCAGCTCCGGTGGAGAATGGAGGCACAGATGCAGACATGACCACAGAGGAAGAGACGTGGGAGCAGAAGGAGGAGCCAGGGGGAGGAGGAGGAGGCGGAGGACAGGAGGACCTGGGCTCAGGAGGAGCCTGTGAGGAGGGCGCTGCGAGGAATGAGGATGAGGAGATGATGATGGAGGAGGAAGAAGAGGAGATGCCCATGCCTAAAGTGGCTCCGGCACCACCAGATGCCCCCAAGAAAGAACATGTGAACGTGGTCTTTATCGGTCACGTGGGTGCGTCCCATTTGTATCTATATGTATATTAATTTATCTGAGGAAGACTGTAGAAACTTTCATTTATCTTCTGAATGTTTTTGTCTGTCAGATGCTGGTAAATCAACTATTGGAGGACAGATCATGTGAGTAATACTTTTTTAATGTTATGTGTCGTCTGATCACAATGCTGCAGGGCTGCTCAATATTTTTTTATGGTTGCGTAACGTATTTGTTCTTGCATATTTCCTATTTCAATTTTCTTTAATTTCTCTATGCCTGCATACAGTATAAAAGCAACTGAAAAGTGTCCCCTAGAAATAAAGTATTTCTGATTTCTGAATAGTTAAAAAATATCTATTATTTTTCTTAAATGCCGTGAAGTGTGACTAATTTTCCCATTTTATGGAAAACTGCGTCCAGACTTAGAAAATTAAAACAAACAAACAAACAAAACAGTCCAGTGTTTATTGATGCCACGGTGGCTGTTAGCTATTGCGCAACATTTTGCCTCTTACACAACAGTTGTTTTTCTTCAGTTTCAGCCTCAGTTTCATTTTTGCCTCCATAATGCCACAGGTATAATAAAGACAACATCATTTCCATGACCCCCTGCTTCTCACCTTTCTATTTTCTTTTTCCCCCCTTTGTAGGTACTTAACTGGAATGGTGGACAAGCGAACCCTGGAAAAATATGAAAGAGAAGCAAAAGAAAAAAATAGGGAGACATGGTGAGAAAAACATGTTAATGAAAGCTCTCAGAAGCACCAAATCTGACCCACCATATTTTGTTATTTTGCATGTTTTATTCAGCATCAACATGGTGTTCAGGATGAATAATTCAAGCAAATATTGCCCAACAACAGCCGTGGTTGGCACAGCAGTTTTAAATGCTCATAAAACAGTTTTGTAAAACATAAATGAATAAATAAACGTGGGGGTTGCAGGTACCTGTCGTGGGCTCTGGACACAAACCAGGAGGAGAGAGACAAGGGAAAGACGGTGGAGGTCGGGAGGGCTTACTTTGAAACTGAGAAAAAACACTTCACCATCCTGGACGCCCCCGGACACAAGAGCTTTGTTCCCAACATGATTGGTGGAGCTTCACAAGCCGACCTGGCAGTCCTGGTGAGATAAACAAACACGCCTATCCTAACATTCACCAACCTTAAACCTTGGACACACAGAGATTAAATCCTGTAAATCCACTGGTAAATGATTTCACTGGTGTTTCACCACAGGAAAAAAAAAAAAAGTATTTACGCATATCCACGGAAACGTCTCAATTCGCCTCTGCAGCAAAATCCTTTTTCCACTGTCCATCTTTATTATAGTTTACAAATAAGGTCACAGAATTTATTTAAAGAAGACGACACTTTTAAATGTCATGGAACCGTAACTGTGGAATTATTTACCTCCCTTATTGGTTTGTATCAGGTAATTTCAGCGAGGAAGGGTGAGTTTGAGACCGGCTTTGAGAAGGGTGGACAGACGCGGGAACACGCCATGCTGGCTAAAACAGCAGGAGTCAAGCATCTCATTGTCCTGGTCAACAAGATGGATGACCCCACCGTCAACTGGAGCCTAGAAAGGTGAACAGGAATCGGGTTAAGATAGATATGATGTGTTTGTGTTGGCTTAAAGGGGCACACCACCTAAATTAAGAATTCCAATAGCCTAGGATTTATGAACATGAGCGTCTCTCTCAAAGCCAGAAACCAGAGATATATGTCTCAAACTTGTGAGATGTCAGCTCCAGATTTTATACCCTATGACATTACAAAACCCAGGATGACAACCCAGAAACGTTCAGTTTACTGTCATAAAGGGAGTAAAGAAACCAGAAAATATTCACACCTAGAAAGCTGGAATCAGAGAATAGTTACTTTTTCCCTTAAAACATCACTCAAACCAGTTAATAGATTATCATATTCATTGGCTATTAATTTAATGGTTGACGACTAATCGATTAAGTTATGATAGAACTTTAATTATCCTGATGAAAATTGCTCTGCAGCAGTTGCAATACAAAGTTGGTGGAGTGCAGATACAAAGAGTACAAAATGAAAGGACTAAAATAACATAAAATGCAAATTTAAAGCAAATTTAAAATTGAATTTAAAGTGAAATATATTGCAAATATAGCAGGTGGTGTCAGTCTGTTGCTGAAGGTATTCCTGTGCATGAGCAGTACGATGGAAACGATGGTGTGATGGAAAGTGTGAGAATCATTATCCATGATGCTTCAAATATTTGTCACGGCTCCAGTTGGCACCGAAACACTTTCCATCATTTAATTATTAGCATTGGCTTTTATTCAGATGGTCCGTTAATAGCTCCTATCTGACGTCTTCTTTTGTAAAAACCCATGGTGTTATGTTTCTCATATTGTAGTAAATAATCACATATTTCATTACTTTCCTGCAGGTATGAAGAGTGTAAGGAGAAGCTGGTTCCATTTCTAAAGAAAGTGGGCTTCAACCCCAAGAAGGACATCCACTTTATGCCTTGCTCCGGACTCACAGGTGCCAACCTCAAGGACCCCGTGCCCGAGTGCCCCTGGTACACGTAAGTGCAGTTGGTGGGATGGTTTGTTAGTACAGTGTGAACTTTTGTTGGGTTGTCTGGTTCACAGGAGGAATTTTAAATACACAATCATCCTCTTAAGCCTGTATTTACCACTGGCTGAACCCAGCTACACACACTCGATTCACCTGAACAATGATGCTTTGTCACATGTTCACAAAGTAGTCATAGAACCAGAGATCAAAATTAGCAGTCGCTAGTCGCCAGAGGCGACTAATTTTAACCCTTTGTCCAGTAAATGAAGTCACCTAACCAGCCACTCTGGCGAGTGAAAAAAATAGGGCCAAACTACTGTTATTGTTGTTTCTCCCGCCCCTGGCTGTGTGTAGGCTACGTGATGTCATTGGTTGCGCGCCGGTGTCGTACAACAGATCTTCAAGCCCACAACATGCCGCAAAGTGGGAGCTAGAATGTGAGCGTGCAGTTGGAGATTCAGGGTCCACCATTTCCACGCCCTAGAAAGGCTGATAAGGGGGTGCTGTGGCCGTGCTGCGGCCGTGCTGCCTGCTCTCTCCGGTTTTACGCCAGGCTCGGCTCGTTTCAAAGACTCCTTGCAAAGCACTCCAGCGACCGGATCTTTGCTCTCAAACCACAAAAAAAGATGTGATGGCACAACAGTCTCCTTCAGTAGGCTACATTATTCTATGCTTTCTTTTGATTTCCACATTGGCTAGTCATCCTGTTTAATTTGTCTTCTGATTAAATCGGAACAGTTGAAACAAGTTGTAGGAAGACTCTGCAAGTAATTGGTTGCTGGCAGACACTCTGTGCTGCAATAAAATGGTTAATCAGCAGTGCCGTGCACTGTAGAGCCGATGCACTGCTGGTTCTGCCGGCCTGAATAGAATATAATGTCTACTGTTGTATACAGCATTTATAGACTGAGCTGGGTAGTGATGCGCAAGTCAACCCGTAACCCGTGGGACCCACAAATGGACCTGTGGGTCGTTCAGCAGTGATCGTCTGTTAAATCTGTAAATGATATATGACATTATTGGCTATTACTGTC